TTAGTCAGACTTTCAAACATTTTGATCAGGCTATAAATACGGAATAATGTGCCAAAACCAGACAAAAGAGGGATAGAAACTGCACAAAGTACATGCTGATCATGACAACATATTGCATTAGAGCTGAACTTTACAACAAAAGACTTATAACTACCAGATGTGGAAACTGCTTTTCACTTCTCGAATGGGGTACCCTTACAAACTACTATGCACTTTCATATATATGACATAGTTCTGAACCAGTATTTGCAATCTAACTCAGGTCCCAGAGGGAGTGTAAGTGCACTCACATAGCACTCCAACCGAGATATAAACCCTTAAAATAAACAACTCCACTCCAGAAGGTTAGAAGGACACACCCAACTAATAAAATCATCATTTGAATTATCAAAATTAAGTGAATAGGATCTGGCTGCTTGGAATTTTTATAATTCAGACTTGTCTCCTCAAAACCAAGCATTTTTCCCAATTATTCAGGGTTCGCCTACATGCATATTATTGTGCTTAACAAAGGCATCACTGAAGATGAAACATGCGTGCTAGGAAATGCATGAACAGGAGATAACGAACCACAAAAAAGAGCTTTGCAAACAACAGGAATGTGTATTGCACTTCTCATGTAACTATTTTAGAGTGTCCCCTATTCTATTAAGCTTTCTGAAAAGGCAGACAATTATTAATTCTACCAATATGCTGCAATTGCTTTTGACGTGTGCTTCGTTAGCCATGGAAGAAGAATGAAAGAAGAAATCAATGGGAAAAAATTGCTGGGAAGAGTAAAATTGCCTTAGGGATTTTGTTCTACGTAATACAATGGCCTAGGAATTCTATTTATAAGGAAGACATGGCATTTATATCTATTGATTTTTCAGGGACCTCTTGCAGTCTGCAGTCTTAAAATTTCACCTGTCCTAGAAGGGTACACATCTTTCGTGAAATCTTGATGTTCTTCAATGGCATTATGCTTACGGAAAAGTAAATATGGTGTAACAGAGGTGAAATAACCCAAAATTTTTTGCTCCCTTTGCAAGGCTATAAAACTTCCCATATCATTTCACATTTGATACACTGAGGTTAAGTACTCACTTGCGGACTGGACTTTCACATTAGGGGATCCAAATGAAGGACCACAAAAACATCAGTTATGACAGCTTGTTCCTAAGACCATTTAAATTGTCACCCAGACCTTAGGATAGTTTGGAGTGGTCTCAGGACCTCCATGAACCTGGCTATAGCTTAGAGTCAGGTCTCCTAGCAAGGGATTATCAAACCACAGAGGATCTCTGGAAATACATTCTTCTTGCTTATGTAGACTATGGTAGGAATGAGCAAACTCAAGGTGAAAAGATCAACAGGGGCTCTATCTCCACTACCCCCGATCTCCCATTTCACCCCATTCCAAGGGACAGGTCAACTGATATTGCATGTTGCGTAATGTTTATATGGTTGTGGAGCAAAGGCTGGGATGCAATCACACATTAGTCAGTTATCATCCTACTGAAAGATACTGACAGTGGACGTTTTGCATGAAAGATGAGCTGTATGTGTAGAAACCAAAGCATACTTTTGAACAAATTAGTAGTGTAGTCCCTTTTGAAGCTCCATTCTAACCGGCTTTTAACTCCAAACTTTTATTTAATATGTAGGAAATAATATACCAGTACAATATAAACCAAGACCAAAATGTTTTATTCATAGAGCTTTTGTATGCCTTGATTACCACAGCTTTTTCTGTACCTAAGCCAGCTGGTACAATATGTACTGTCTTCTATGTTTTGTTGCTGTTTTCTTGTATTAAATATGTCAAAATTTTATATCTGAGCAATAAAAGTAGGTCTGATGCATAGTAATGAAGGTAGAACAACAGTGTACCATGGTAACACCTTGGTAAATCAATTAATATATTTATGGCTAATGAAAAAAAAAAAGAAAGATTAGCTAAGAGTGAGGTCAGTCAGTGGTTCCACAACATGGCTTTGGGTGAAGACTTCTCATAATCATTAAACAGATATCTGCATCCTACTTTTCAAGTCAAAATAAATGTCTCTTATTCTATTTCTTTGCTTGACAGCCTGAATAATGCCGGACTGCAGAGAGTACTTAAATGTAAGCCTCTCTCCTCACCTTTTTGGTACAGTTCTATCTAGATATTTACCAGGCTCTTTCTGGGCCCCATATATTGCTGTTTCCAAACTTCCTGAGACAAAGCAAAACTACCATCTTTAACTTCCCCAAAGGCGCTTTTAGCAAATTAGGAGCACTCTCTTGACTCACATTTAGCTTTGACACCAATAGTAATGACTTTGCAAAAGAGATTCCAGTTTCTCATTCCACATAACACAAAAAGAAACTGAGGAAGGCAAAATGTCTGTATCCTAGCCTGGCTCAGTTACCTGTTTATTTTTCAATGCTCTTTCAGATTTGGTTGGAGCCCTTACATGTTTGGGACTACCTCACACAGTTTCCTCTCTGAATAATTGAATATTTATTTCACCTCAGTCCCTGAGCTAGCTTATTCTCTGTTTGCTTTCTTCTGCCTCTCCCTTTCTAAAATGGCTTCTGAAAATCCTTATAATTTACTGTCTCGACTTTCTCTTGAAAAGGTACCCGTCCTCCATCCCTTGATCCATCTCATCACTTAATCAAAATCCTCAACTACTTGACAGTTGTTAGCTATCTTTATACTGCAATTCAGGCCTGAACAATCAGTTTGTTCTGTGCAGTTGACAACCACTTCTCCACAAGGGCTTCTGGGTGAATAACAGATCGTTTATGTTAGATGTAACTTCTGCTGTTAGCGACATGTTATCAACTCTGAACTTTACCCAAAGACAGAGGTTCAAATACCCCAAAAGAAATTCTATATAGCTAAAGTATAGCTTAAAGGATAACATATTCATAGAGAATCTCTAGATTCACATTGCCTTCCTTAATTCTTTGCTTACCAGCTTTAACAAGGAACATGTCTCTAACCTAAGCTGTACAGGTAAGCATTGCAAGGCATCTTTTGCTACCTTTATTTGGATGGACAAAAGGGACATTCTTCATCTTGGGCCTTTCTTTGAGCTTGTAAATCACTGTGTACACTTGTGAGGGAACCCAGAGCTCTGAAGTGGATGTGCCTGTATTCTGTAAAGAAGAGTGGAAGGCCTTCACACTAAAAAAGGGCAGGTTTTGTCTGGGGAAAAAACCCAACATAGTTTAACTTTCTGAATAGAAAATACTCAAAGTGACTACAGAAAACAGAGTAGAAATAAATAGCTTTCCTAACTGTCTTGGTGTTCTTGCAGGCGGATCCTTACCTTCAGCCAGCTTTCTCACTGGCAGCTGACTTTAGTGCTAGGACCTTCACCAAAGAAAATCTGTGACAAGCCTTCCTTGAGGTTATCGTTTGGCAGGGTGTGAAGAAAGACTCCAAGACATGTATTTGCACCCTGTTCTGTTATAGATTCTGTAGAAGGGCCTTAATGTTACCCCAATTTGGCTTATAGACCAGCCTCTTGCTTCTTATTTCAGCCTCAGTGAATTCTACCCCTAATGTTCAAGATGTCACGTAAACCAAAACAGAGGGTGAGGTTAAACTCAAGGCTGCAGATCTGGTCACTAGCAAGCACAGCACAGAGTCCAGAAAAAGAAACAGAGCAGTTTGCTAAAACAGGGAATACATCAATGCTTTATGCTACGTACACTTTATTTACAGGGCATTTGCAGATTCAGAATGATGATGAATGAAGCTGCAAAACACAGTTTGATTTACATCATGTCAAGGCAGAGAGCAGAGTAAAAATTTTTTGTGATTTTAACTTTTTTAAGCAATTCCTAATAGTTAATCCAGAGGCATTACTTTTTGTTTACTCAGTCTTGTTTTTTGATACTTTCCCACCTTCTGCTTTATTTTATAGCCCTACGTCTGCTCAGTGAGTCTGGGGAGTACTCTGTTTTACATGCACCACTGCATGGACAGATAGGATGTTTTACCAAGGTCGACAGATGCTAACCTACTCATAGAAGACAAGTTACTGCTATGTCCTAGTTCGACAAACTATTATTCTTCCATGGTATCAGTTTGGGCAACATTAAAACTGCAATAAAAAGTGCATTTTCCACCAGAAAGACAACAGCAAGAGCATGATAATATTTCATAAATATAGATATTTTCTCTTCTCTCATAACCCGCATGGAATTCAGTAATAATGCCAACTACGGAAACAGTCACTTAGTACAAACATCAGTTAGTCACTCTGACCTAACATTTAATAGGTTCTTTTATACGTAGATTTCTCTCTACATATTTCTATTTCCCCCCAAACTTTGATTCTTGTAAAGTTCCTGGTTTTTCTACTGCCAAAAAAATCATTGATCAATATGATCTGACCTCTTAGCAAAAACATTTTCAAGTGTCATCTCCTTCACCTCAGTGGCTGGTCCAGCCTAAACCATGAAAGTTTTTCATAAATCCACCATTAATTGTGTGTTCCTCCTGCTTAAAAGTAATTTTTATGAGAAAACAAAAATATTTCTATATTTGTTCACATCATGTATCTTAACATGCATAAGCAATGTCACTGCAGTATCAGAGTAGTCATTCTCTCTCTCTCCTTTTCCCATGATTTATAAAGAAAGTTGCTGTTAATATAATAATGAATGGTTTGCTCAAGATCCTGTTTGTTTCTGTTGAGTGCTTGGAGAAGAAAGTCAAAGTGCATTTGGATTGTCATTTGCACAGTTCAATTTCTTACTGTTACTACTCAGCAACTTCTTAAACCAAATAAAGCAAAGAATCCTGGAATGGACATAGTCTACACAATGAAGTCATCATTCCTAAGCCATTGTGCTATATTTAAATTGTATACTGAGCTACAGTATCCCACTCTGCTATGAAGGGCAATTCAGAGTCACTGATGGGAAAGGAAAAAAAACCACACATTTCCCCCTTATTCTAACATCATACAATATCAATTGTTTCCCCCACCACTAGTAGGAAAAATGTGTGTTCTTACCCCACAGCCTATTCCATTGCCTGGTTCACATACAATTTTCCTCACTCCTGGTTCAGGAAGCAAACCAGCTCCACAGCCGGGGGTTGGACACAGCACTCCTCCCATCTGCAGCACGCACTCCTCGGCCCCATAGCGCTGGTAGCGGTTGTACTACAACACAACAGACTGGTGTTAAACTTCCAATGGCATGCAACTTTCCCCCCAAACTTTGAGCTTGAATCTATCCCACATAATCAAGTCATCTGTCCCAGCGCTTCACATTCTAAGTCCAGACTATTTGTCAAACGTCTAGAACTTGGAAGTGTCGCTAAATGGGGTGTCACTCTGCGCCAACTCACATCATATGCATCATTTTCTGACTTGCAGCTATCATTTTCACCACCAGAAAATTGTGTGGGATATTAAAAGCAAGAAAACAGCAGACTGTTTCCGTAAGTAACCTCAAGAACTCTTACACTGATATAAAAAAATTATTGTAAACATCATAAGTATAGTCCAACAACAGATACTGATAAACGCTGTATACAGATTGAAAAGAAACCCACAACCTCCCCCAAGGATCTATAGCTAAAAGTACAGTATACTGTTTTAGACCTAAAGGGTTGTAAAAATTGACCAGACAACTTTATTTTCAAGATAAATTTCACGAGACTGACTGGCAAAATAATTCTCTGATATACATTTATTTCAATGTTAGGTGTAGTTCTTATCCAGGGTCTCCCAGGAAATTTTCTTAGTTCTTGCTGTCTTCATCTAGTTCCATCCTAATAGCCTAAAAGGCTATGGGAATGCCTCCATTTTAATGATGGAGACACTGACACAGAGCAACATTAAATAACGTGCTCACTGTATCCTCACTGACAAAAACTCTTACTCTAAAATGACTGATGCCATTGCAATAACTTTCCCTGGTCTAACTTACCCTGCTTTCAGCCTGAGATAAGCTGAGCAAGTACAAATCATGCTGCGTACATGTAAATCACATCCACTCTAGGGTTCTGTGTTGGTGCAGTTCCACACTAGTGGCTATATAACCATTGTAAACCAGGCCTCAGATTCACCTGTAAATCTGGTCTACTGTAGAGTGAAATAAATGAAAGCATTTGGTCCTAACAGCCCCAAAGAAAACAGGAAAATCCAAACGGCCAAAGAGGGAGAGAGTAGTATGAATTTTCTCTGCGAGTGGAATGACTTTATGGTGTACTGAAGGAACAAACCAGAGCTTTATGTTACAGCACTCACAACAGTATTTAGTGCTTCATAAACTTTTATCCCATAACTACTCATGAAAATCCTGTTCCCTTTTTTGGGGGGGGACAAATAAAAAATTCTTTCACCAATCTGCACCCCTATCCAAAGAAATACCACAAGGAAAACTGAAGTAATAGTACCAAAATGTCATACACAAAGGATACAAAGAAGAACTTTAAATTACAAAGACAGGGGTGCCACTGCATATTTTGAGGGTACATTTAAGAAGATTCTTCTACAAATGTTGCCATAACACAACTTGTTACACTGGGTTTTTAAAAATAGTATGTGACTTCTTAAAACACTATACTATATAGACATAAAAACGTTGCATCACAGAAAAAAGAAGTATACCAAACTGGAAGTATCCACCTTTGTCAGCTAACAAAAAATCCAAACAAACTTCTTCTCCAAAGCAAAGCAAAGACTAAAAGGAGAGAAAGCCTTCAAAATGTCACTGAGTGTGTGAGAGACAGCCAGAAGTCCTGAACTAAGGATCTTGGATCTGGAAGATACCAGTATTTTCAGAAATGTACAAGACGTCTGCAAATTCTCCTTGAATGCAGGGGCTCAACAAGTCAACTGGTGTTTTTCTGTTTTATTATTATGCTTGAACCTAGAGCAGTTACATTGGAATTTTACATTGGACTCTATCAATTTTCAGCAAAGCTTGCAATCCTTGCACTAAACACATGCTGAGTGGTCTGAGACATTCTGCTGGCCTTCAACAGAAATATGGGTAACCACAGCTGCAAAACTCTCTGCTGACCTCATTTTTCTTCAGGGCAGAGGCTGGACCTGAAGGTGAGGACAGTGATTGTCTTACCCCATTAAGAGGGAACATTGTGCTGAATGTGGCATTGTTAGCAGCTTCTCATTATGGAGGCAAACGCCAGTGACACTGTAGCTGAGATTCTGTCAGCATTTCCATTATAAATTCTCAGCCAAAAAAAAAAAAGGATGTGCTTTCCAGTCATTAACTTAGCATAAAAGGGCATGATTCCTTCCATCTCCTTTCCATTTTTTTTTTTTTTTTGATACACAAAAAAGGAAGATAGATCTGTCATGTTAAAAAAAGTTACAGAAAGGAAATGTCCGGTCTACCTACTGGCAAGGTGGACAAAGCCGTCATATTCTGTCCACCAAATTTGACATTTTATACTGGTTCAGCACAGGACTCATGCCAAATCAGCACAGCAATCTCTTCAGTGATATTCACACTATAAACGCCAAAAAAATGATCAATTTGAATACAGGAAAGATCCTACTAAATGCATTTGCACATCTTGACATCTAGTTACCAACCTGTTTTCTACCTTCAAAGTCCAGATACATTTTTTAAGATGTCATTTTTTAATTTCTTTTTCCTTGTACCTGTACAGGAGCTCACTTAAATCTCAGCAACCAACTGAAAAATGTAGTGGCAGAACGTATACATGTTTGCTGCCATAACATAGTCATATATAACATATGTGGATTTATATTCTTTATTCAGTGGCCTGAAACAAAACAACTCACTTTACACTAAGGGTGCATTTATAAAAGGCTTGTAAGGACCAAAACACTTATTCTGCAGTGATGATGCCTACACTTGCACAGGTTGCTTGGACTCCTTTTATAATTAACAAGAGAGACAGGATGCAATTCATCTTTTCTCATTTAGACTTGTACTTCAGCAGAAGAAGAACTGAGCCCTGGAGTGCCCTGTTCTATTAACAATAAAGAGAGATCAGAGAATTTGCTAGATATTGACACCTGAAATTAGGTGACTTCCACAATAGCTGCTTCAGTTCCAATAATTCTGATCCTAAGTCACCTGGCCTAAGCTATTGTTGAAACCAAGGTTTAGGTACCTGAATAGCTTAGACTTTGAACCACCTCACACAATTGTAGCTCTTAAAAAATTAAACATCTAGCCTAAACAAATCATAAAGGCTCTAAATATACTGAATGAGAAGAAACAAGATCCCAGGAAGGGAAGTTATCCTGACTTACATGTGATGTCTAACACAGGTAGGATGAATCACTCTGTGGAAGTGCTGTAGTTGAAACCGAGAAAAATAACTTAGGCTAGATATCTAATATATAAAGACCTGCCATTAAAAGATGAATCTAACTCTTCTCTACATCCAAAATATTTCACAATATCTATTACTCAATTATTACCAATGCGCCTCCTATTTAGAGATGCACTCATGTGTAAAACAGTTCTGCAAGCTACAAGGAGGAAAAAAAAATAATCGCCAATTATTTTTAGGAAAAACCTCTTATGAAGTTTAATATATGGGGAACTTGACTGAACTGGCATTCATGGCACCTGATTTCAATTCCTGGCAGCAGCACAGCCTTCCTGTGGTTTTCACATAAGTCACTTATTCTATGCTTCTCATCAGTTCTCCGTTTGTAAGGAGGGAGAATGATACTTGCTGATTTCACTGTAGTGTTAAGAGGCAAAATCCGTTAATAGTCATGAGGACATCAAATACTATGGAAATGAGGGGCATAAAATTACACAGAAATCACCAGCCGTCTACTGCTGCTAGAAAGCAGCTTTTGAGCAAAGCATCTCAGGCATTTATACGCTACTGTAATAAGGTCCTCAGAAATACAGGTAGGTAAATAGTTGCCGGATTCACCATAGAACCATATATTTCAATGCCTAATTGGAAAAAAAAAAAAAAAAAGGCTTTAAAAATATGATCTACTCCAAACCACTTGTGCTAGGACAGCTAAAGGTATATGAACAAAGTAGTCATAAAACATTCTGTGTTTTTTCTCTCTGAAAACTGCATCCTGTCATGAACTTTCCCCTCAGTTCGTAAATTGTCCCAGTCAACCCAATTCTATGCTTTTAATGGAATTAAATTTTGAGTGGAAAAAATTCCCAGCTCTACTTATAGTATTTCAACCATATCATGAAGTTCTTTCATGCAATCTTTGCTCATAAAGACTTGTCAGGGCCTTTAGAAATGATTTTTATAAATTATAGTATGACATAGACATGGAGGCTGGATAATTGTAACCATTTATTCCCTGTTTCCCACTGTCCGGAGTGGAATGGTTTCCCTTGAGTCTTAGAATGGTACCGGGTTTTCAACCAGTGGAAATTCAATCATTTGACATTGTAAATCAAGGGTAATATAAATGAAATCATTGGGCTGACACGGGAATAAAACACATTTAACTGCGGATTGCAGTCTTTTCAGTTACACTGAGATTCAGATACTAAGATAAAACTGTAATGCACCTGGATACACAAAACTCTTGCAAAATACTCTTTGTGAACACAGTGATTCCTTGCCATGTTATTTAATTTGCAAGTTATGTTTGAATATCATAGAATCATAGAGTGGTTTGGGTTGGAAGGGACCTTAAAAATCATCTGTTCCAACGTCCCCTGCCACAGCACGTGCCTTGTGCTATTTTAATTTTGCTTTTACACTTTGGGCACAGTTTTCTTTATTTCACCTTTTTTCCTCACACCTAAAAGCATCTGCTCAGTACTAGCCTCATAAGGAACTTTGGACAAAAGTTCAACAGTAGATGTAAAGCCAAAATTTCTAATCTCTGAAAGGTAATTCAATTACTTGGCTCTTTTAACTGCATGTAACGGTCTCAGAGGAAAGAAAATCTACTTTCTGGAGTCAGATTGTTTTTACTGCTCCTATAAATCAAATAACCATCTGTGTGTTTCAAAATTAGATTGCGGAGGCTATTAGTCCATAATGTAGACTAAGCACTTTATTTATATGTATTATACACAAACGAAAAAAAAAAGAAAAAAAAAAAGGAAAGAATTAGTTCCATAATGTTATTAGGCAACTTAAAGTACGAAACTCTTAGTACTCATGGGGCTAGTAAAAATACTTATAAAAGTGTCATCTGAAATACAGATGAGG